GGGAGGGTGGAGTGCACAGGCCAAGTGAGCAATGGGACGGCAGCAGGCGCCATGTTACTGCTGCCATTCTCTTATTTTTGACGGGAGGGTTTACTTAAGAGAGGATCATCTAAATGGAAAGAGACGGGAAGCGGGCACAGGGTAAGAGGGACAATGTGGAGTGAAGCTGATGTGAAAAGACGGAGCTGGGTGCGGGGGAGGAGGAAGGTTGGAGCAAACTGGCAGTCAGGGCAGAGAAAGTCCAGTCAAAACTGTAGAAAGTTCTCGGTGTGTCCAGAGGTTCCCTGCATTGACAGCATCTGCTCCTACCTGTAGTGAAGCAGCCATGATAGGGTTAACTGGGTTACCCAGAGTATTTGGGGGTGGAACCCTGCTCTCCCCCTCCCTCTGTCCCTTCCTGTTTGGTTAGGGGGTGTTTCTCCCCCACTCCGCTGGGATGAATTTAAATAAAGCAGCAGGTTCCCAGCCTGCAGACCTGGGAGTAGACTTATTTTTGTTGCACTGAGCGGTCCCTTTTGAAAACTGCTGACAAGGAAAAAACATATGCATGGCAATTTATGGGAAAATTGAGGAGTTTAGTGAAGCCAATGAGGCTTGGTAGCAATACTATGAAAGACTGGGCTGCACTTCCCTTACAAATGAGATTATAGACCAGGACAAACAACCGTTTTCCTCAGTGTCTGTGGCAGTGAAACCTATTCCCTCTCCTGGAGTTTGCAACAACCTCAGAAACCAGGGAAGGAAAGTTTTTAAAAGACCTACAGAAGATCTGAAGAGGGCACGACACACGAAATCCAAATGTTCTTGGAGAACAGTGTGAGGCTCTGGATGAGGAGGCAAGGTGAAACTAGCTCTGTGTGTGTGTGTGTGTCAGAGCTTAAAAGACTAGCACAGTATTGCCTGTGTCCTAGGATGTGTTGCGGGACAGGTCGGCTTGTGGTATTAATCAGGAGAGACTTCAAAACCATTGCTGTCAGAGGGCAATTGTACCTGACCCGGAGCTGTCGAATTAGCAGCAGCAATGGAAGCAGCTGTGAAAAACTTACAAGATTTGTGCTTAGAATGCCTTAAAGCAGGACCAGTTCCATAGAGAACAGATTGAGACCAAATTAGCCAGGCTGGAGAAAGAGGGTAGCATTTTCCCAGTGCAATTTTTTGAATGGGCCACACTTACAACCAGACGAAGACCATCCACATCCTTGGGCATGATAAAGTCCCAGTGAATCGGGTCTCCGACTCTGGCAATTGCCCCATGCCATGGATGGAGGATTTGCCAGTGGGCATAAAAATTGAGTAAGCTGGCCATGTCACGGGTGTACCAGCAGCTGAGACTGGCGGTGGACTGTCAGAAATTTACCACTAGAAAGACTCCCAAGGGCTTATCCCGGTACAAGTGATTGACATATGGGACATCGTCAACACCTGGAATTTTCCAGAGCTCCATGGAAATTTTTTTTGAAAGGCATCCTGTGTGTGGTTACGAAGCTTGATGTCATCTTCAACCCAGGCAGAAGTGGGGTAGGACACCTGTCAACACTGGAAAAGGTACTTTGAAGATAGTGGAGGCTGCAGGACTTCGCTTCAAACAAAGTACATGTTTTTCTGTGAGACCAGAAGTGGTGTCCCTGGTTCTCCTGGATAGACCAGGACGGGATTCACCCCAAGGCAGACAAGGTCACGGCAACTGTCTCTTCCCCCTTACTCTGGTTTGGCCGGTTCTCAGAACACCACTGAGTTCTGAGCACACTTAGGGATGGTATAATCATCAGCACAGGTTTCTCCCAAATGTTTTGGCCCTTTCACTGCCCCCTTGCATTAACTCCTGAAAGAGGGAGATCCCCTGATATTGGAGCAAGAAAGACCTTTCCAGGAATCTGAAAAGCTACTCAAGTCCTCCGAGCTCCTTTTCATTCATTTTGAGCTGGAGGAAGAATTAATCCTGTCCTGTGATGTGTCATCATCTGGAATAGGGGCAGTTCTGGCCCATAACATAGGGGATGTTGGAGAACAGCTAGTTGGAAGTCTCCAGGTCACTGGCTAAAGTTGAACAAGGTTAGAGAAAGAAAGGCTAATGGTTATTTTTGGAATGAAAACGTCCATCAGTACCTGCATGGGAAGCTTTGGACCATTCTTTCAGATCACAGACCCCTTGTGGGACTCTCTAACAAGAGCAAAGGTGTGCTGAGTATGGCAGCTGGCCGGCAACACCACTGGGCTGCTCCCTTAGCCGCTTATGAGTATAAGGGTATGTCTACACTACGGAATAAGGTCGAATTTATAGAAGTCGGTTTTTTAGAAATCGGTTTTATGTATTCGAGTGTGTGTGTCCCCACAGAAAATGCTCTAAGTGCATTAAGTGCATTAACTCGGCGGAGTGCTTCCACAGTACCGAGGCTAGAGTCGACTTCCGGAGCGTTGCACTGTGGGTAGCTATCCCACAGTTCCCGCAGTCTCCGCTGCCCATTGGAATTCTGGGTTGAGATCCCAATGCCTGATGGGGCTAAAACATTGTCGCGGGTGGTTCTGGGTACATATCGTCAGGCCCCCGTTCCCTCCCTCCCTCCGTGAAAGCAAGGGCAGACAATCATTTCGCGCCTTTTTTCCTGAGTTACCTGTGCAGACGCCATACCACTGCAAGCATGGAGCCCACTCAGGTAACCATCACCCTATGTCTCCTGGGTGCTGGCAGACGCGGTACGGCATTGCTACACAGTAGCAGCAACCCCTTGCCTTGTGGCAGCAGACGGTACAGTACGACTGGTAGCCGTCATCGTCATGTCCGAGGTGCTCCTGGCCACGTCGGCTGGGAGCGCCTGGGCAGACATGGGTGCAGGGACTAAATTTGGAGTGACTTGACCAGGTCATTCTCTTTAGTCCTGCAGTCAGTCCTATTGAACCGTCTTATGGTGAGCGGGCAGGCGATACGGATTGCTAGCAGTCGTACTGTACCATCTTCTGCCAGGCAGGCAAGAGATGAGGATTTCTAGCAGTCGTATTGTACCATCTTCTGCCAGGCAGGCAAGAGATGAGGATTTCTAGCAGTCGTATTGTACCATCTTCTGCCAGGTAGGCAAGAGATGAAGATGGCTAGCAGTCGTACTGTACCATCTTCTGCCGAGCAGCCATGAGATGTGGATGGCATGCAGTCCTTCTGCACCGTCTGCTGCCAGCCAAAGATGTAAAAGATAGATGGAGTGGCTCAGAACAAGAAATAGACCAGATTTGTTTTGTACTCATTTGCCTCCTCCCCTGTCTAGGGGACTCATTCCTCTAGATCACACTGCAGTCACTCACAGAGAAGGTGCAGTGAGGTAAATCTAGCCATGTATCAATCAGAGGCCAGGCTAACCTCCTTGTTCCAATAAGAACGATAACTTAGGTGCACCATTTCTTATTGGAACCCTCCGTGCAGTCCTGCCTGAAATACTCCTTGATGTACAGGCACCCCCTTTGTTGATTTTAGCTCCCTGAAGCCAACCCTGTAAGCCGTGTCGTCAGTCGCCCCTCCCTCCATCAGAGCAACGGCAGACAATCGTTCCGCGCCTTTTTTCTGTGCGGATGCCATACCAAGGCAAGCATGGAGGCCGCTCAGCTCACTTTGGCAATTAGGAGCACATTAAACACCACACGCATTATCCAGCAGTATATGCAGCACCAGAACCTGGCAAAGCGATACCGGGCGAGGAGGCGACGTCAGCGCGGTCACGTGAGTGATCAGGACATGGACACAGATTTCTCTGAAAGCATGGGCCCTGCCAATGCATGCATCATGGTGCTAATGGGGCAGGTTCATGCTGTGGAACGCCGATTCTGGGCTCGGGAAACAAGCACAGACTGGTGGGACCGCATAGTGTTGCGGGTCTGGGACGATTCCCAGTGGCTGCGAAACTTTCGCATGCGTAAGGGCACTTTCATGGAACTTTGTGACTTGCTTTCCCCTGCCCTGAGGCGCATGAATACCAAGATGAGAGCAGCCCTCACAGTTGAGAAGCGAGTGGCGATAGCCCTGTGGAAGCTTGCAACGCCAGACAGCTACCGGTCAGTTGGGAATCAATTTGGAGTGGGCAAATCTACTGTGGGGGCTGCTGTGATGCAAGTAGCCCACGCAATCAAAGATCTGCTGATATCAAGGGTAGTGACCCTGGGAAATGTGCAGGTCATAGTGGATGGCTTTGCTGCAATGGGATTCCCTAACTGTGGTGGGGCTATAGACGGAACCCATATCCCTATCTTGGCACCGGAGCACCAAGCCGCCGAGTACATAAACCGCAAGGGGTACTTTTCGATAGTGCTGCAAGCTCTGGTGGATCACAAGGGACGTTTCACCAACATCAACGTGGGATGGCCGGGAAAGGTGCATGATGCTCGCATCTTCAGGAACTCTGGTCTGTTTCAAAAGCTGCAGGAAGGGACTTTATTCCCAGACCAGAAAATAACTGTTGGGGATGTTGAAATGCCTATATGTATCCTTGGGGACCCAGCCTACCCCTTAATGCCATGGCTCATGAAGCCGTACACAGGCAGCCTGGACAGTAGTCAGGAGCTGTTCAACTACAGGCTGAGCAAGTGCAGAATGGTGGTAGAATGTGCATTTGGACGTTTAAAGGCGCGCTGGCGCAGTTTACTGACTCGCTTAGAGCTCAGCGAAACCAATATTCCCACTGTTATTACTGCTTGCTGTGTGCTCCACAATATCTGTGAGAGTAAGGGGGAGACGTTTATGGCGGGGTGGGAGGTTGAGGCAAATCGCCTGGCTGCTGGTTACGTGCAGCCAGACACCAGGGTGGTTAGAAGAGCACAGGAGGGCGCGGTACGCATCAGAGAAGCTTTGAAAACCAGTTTCATGACTGGCCAGGCTACGGTGTGAAAGTTCTGTTTGTTTCTCCTTGATGAAACCCCCCGCCCCTTGGTTCACTCTACTTCCCTGTAAGCTAACCACCCGCCCCTCCTCCCTTCAATCACCGCTTGCAGAGACAATAAAGTCGTTGTTGCTTCACATTCATGCATTCTTTATTCATTCATCACACAAATAGGGGGATGACTACCAAGGTAGCCCAGGAGGGGTGGTGGAGGAGGGAAGGAAAATGCCACACAGCACTTTAAGCACAGCACTTTCAAAGTTTACAACTTTAAAATTTATTGAATGACAGCCTTCTTTTTTTTGGGCAATCCTCTGTGGTGGAGTGGCTGGTTGGCCAGAGGCCCCCCCACCGCGTTCTTGGGCGTCTGGGTGTGGAGGCCATGGAACTTGGGGAGGAGGGCGGTTGGTTACAGAGGGGCAGCAGTGGCAGTCTGTGCTCCAGCTGCCTTTGCTGCAGCTCAACCATACACTGGAGCATACTGGTTTGGTCCTGCAGCAGCCTCAGCATTGAATCCTGCCTCCTCTCATCATGCTGCCGCCACATTTGAGCTTCATCCCTGTCTTCAGCCCGCCACTTACTCTCTTCAGCCCGCCACCTCTCCTCCCGGTCATTTTGTGCTTTCCTGCACTCTGACATTATTTGCCTCCACGCATTCGTCTGTGCTCTGTCAGTGTGGGAGGACAGCATGAGCTCGGAGAACATTTCATCGCGAGTGCGTTTTTTTTTCTTTCTAAGCTTCACTAGCCTCTGGGAAGGAGAAGATCCTGTGATCATTGAAACACATGCAGCTGGTGGAGGAAAAAAAAAGGGACAGCGGTATTTAAAAAGACACATTTTATAAAACAGTGGCTACACTCTTTCAGGGTAAACCTTGCTGTTAACATTACATACATAGCACATGTGCTTTCGTTACAAGGTCGCATTTTGCCTCCTCCCACCGCGTGACTACCCCCTCAACCTTCCCCCCTCCCTGTGGCTAACAGCGGGGAACATTTCTGTTTAGCCACAGGCAAACAGCCCAGCAGGAATGGGCTCCTCTGAGTGTCCCCTGAAGAAAAGCACTCTATTTCAACCAGGTGACCATGAATTATATCTCACTCTCCTGAGGATAACACAGAGATAAAGAACGGATGTTGTTTGAATGCCAGCAAACATACACTGCAATGCTGTGTTCTACAATGTTTCCCGAGTACGTGTTACTGGCCTGGAGTGGTAAAGTGTCCTACCATGAAGGACGCAATAAGGCTGCCCTCCCCAGAAACCTTTTGCAAAGGCTTTAGGACTACATCTAGGAGAACCGCAAATGCCAGGGCAAAGTAATCCTTTCACATGCTTGCTTTTAAACCATGTATAGTATTTTAAAAGGTACACTCACCAGAGGTCCCTTCTCCGCCTGCTGGGTCCAGGAGGCAGCCTTGGGTGGGTTCGGGGGGTACTGGCTCCAGGTCTAGGGTGAGAAACAGTTCCTGGCTGTTGGGAAAACCGGTTTCTCCGCTTGCTTGCTGTGAGCTATCTACAACCTCCTCCTCCTCATCATCTTCTTCGTCCCCAAAACCTGCTTCCGTATTGCCTCCATCTCCATTGAAGGAGTCAAACAACACGGCTGAGGTAGTGGTGGCTGAACCCCCTAAAATGGCATGCAGCTCATCATAGAAGCGGCATGTTTGGGGCTCTGACCCAGAGCGGCTGTTCGCCTCTCTGGTTTTCTGGTAGGCTTGCCTCAGCTCCTTCAGTTTCACGCGGCACTGCTTCGGGTCCCTGTTATGGCCTCTGTCCTTCATGCCCTGGGAGATTTTCACAAAGGTTTTGGCATTTCGAAAACGGGAACGGAGTTCTGATAGCATGGATTCCTCTCCCCAAACAGCAATCGGATCCCGTACCTCCCGTTCGGTCCATGCTGGAGCTCTTTTGCGATTCTGGGACTCCATCATGGTCACCTGTGCTGATGAGCTCTGCATGGTCACCTGCAGCTTGCCACGCTGGCCAAACAGGAAATGAGATTCAAAAGTTCGCGGTTCTTTTCCTGTCTACCTGGCCAGTGCATCTGAGTTGAGAGTTCTGTCCAGAGCGGTCATAATGGAGCACTCTGGGATAGCTCCCGGAGGCCAATACCATCGAATTGTGTCCACAGTACCCCAAATTCGAGCCGGCAACGTCGATTTAAGCGCTAATCCACTTGTCAGGGGTGGAGTAAGGAAATCGATTTTAAGAGCCCTTTAAGTCGAAATAAAGGGCTTCATTGTGTGGACGGGTGCAGGTTTACATCGATTTAACGCTGCTAAATTCGACCTAAAGTCCTAGTGTAGACCAGGGCTAGGATAGTCTTTAAGGCAAGGATCAGCATGCCAGTGCAAATGCCCTCAACTGTTTGCCAGCACCAGAACCACCTGGTTGGACGGTGCTTCCAGGAGAGATCCCGTTACTTGCAGAACACCTCGACCTGCCAGTAAAGGCTTCCCAGGTAAGGAAACGGACTAGCCAGGCTCCTGTCCCGTCCTGGGTGCAGAGTATGTACTGCCCGGCTGGCCAAACCAGAGTAAGGGGAAAGAGTTCCACCGGTTGGGGTCCGAGAGTGCAGAGCCGAGCATAGAGAAGGGATGTGTATTGTGGGGCACGAAGGTGGCTATTCCCCATGAGGACAAGTTAAAGTCCAGAGTCATGCTCCTGCTTTTCCTCACGTGAACTCCTGGGCCCAGCGCTCGGTGTGGGCCTCAAATCCAGGCTCCTGGGGGCTGCCAAACAAGAACCTCATCTGCTGCACCACCAGGAGAGGCTCCAGGGAGGGAACTGCAGCTAATGCCCCGCACCAGAGGCTCACCCGCTGACTCAGCAGGGTCAGGTGACGAGCAGCACACTGCTGATTGGACACCACCAGGTATAAAGCTTCCTGTTCCAGTCCCACTCACTTTGTCTGAGCACCAGTTGCTGCGCAGGCCACAGAGACCAAGTCCCTGCCTCCTTGCCTGGTTCCTATTCCTTGTCCCTGGTTCCTCGTGCTTCGCCTTGCTCGCTGGTCCTGCTACCACACCTCATCCCTGCTCCTGTTACCATGTCTGGTTGTTGCTTCCTTCCGCTGCCCTCCATCTTTGACCCTTGACGACTTCTGACTCTGGCTTGAGCCTGGGTGTGGCTTCTGATTGTGACCCCAGCTCCACCCCTCGGTCAGACAGCCCATTGTGGGCCCTGACAGCGTCATGGCCAAACATGGATGAGGAGCTGGAAAAAGGAAGAAAGGGATGTCCCCAGTGTCAAGTACACCAGCAGACCCTGGGCCTGGCACCTCTTCATGCCTGGGAATGGCCAGGAGACCCCTGGGTCCACATGCACAGACTCCGCAGGCCCATGCCTGGAGAAAATGTTTCTAATCGTGGCAGGGGCACATTCAAAGGGGTTAGACATGCCTGCGTTGACCTTCGTGGCCTCCGCTGTTCCTGTGAAGGGTGCAGCTGTGCCTTTGCCTCATGCAGGCTACTGATAGTACACGTCATGGACAAGGGACTCCATTTTACAACCCTGGAGTCTGAAGACTTTCTGCGCGTGAATGGGAGTAAACCTATTCAAACTTCCACATGCCATCCAGCTTCTAGCAGCCTGGCAGAGAGTTGGGAGGACTTTTAAAGGGGTAATGAAGAAGGTGATGAATGGGAGCTTGGACATGAAGCTGGCTCAGTTGCTTTTGAAATAAAGGACCACTCCTCAGCCTGCAGCAGACGTGAGCCTGGCACTGCTGGTGACGGAAAGGAAAGTAAGAACTCATTCGGACTTAATCCATCCCAGCAGGGAGAGGGAAGTGTTAAGGGAGCCAGCTCTTCAAAAACGAAACCAGGACCATCATGCCAGAGAGCTGGGCCCAAAATTTTCAGTACCGGCCTACCAAGATGGATTCCGGATACTGTCTTGGAGCAAATGGGGCCATTGCCTCTTAAGTCCCTTTAAGTGATGGTCGAGTCGTAAGACACCATCAGGATCCTGTCCGCTTGCAGAGTGACGTGCAAGCCACAGAGCCTTTGCCCTTGGGTGTCTCCCTCTAGAGGAGCTGAGAATGGAGTTCTGCCAGGAGTGCCCGAGTCAGGGACCTCTCCAGAATTACTGGGCCTGGATAGTGGGGGAAGTGGGTCTCTGCCACCAGAGGTGGCCCTGGCTGCTGTGGAGAGGAGCTAGCCCTACCCTGTGAGAGAGAGAAGAGCCCTTGGTGATTGTAAAGACTACATCCAGGCTGTGAAGTAAGAGGGGAGGGATGTAGCTAACTGGTCATCAAATGGTTAATTGCGTTACCCAGAGTATTAAGGGATTGAGCCATGCAGCTAAATCAAGCAGCACATTCCCAGCCTGCAGTCCGGCGAGTAGACTTATTTTGGGTTGTGTTGAGCGGTCCCTTTACAAAACCCCTGGCCGGAATCCACTTATTTTGCCTCTGTTACCTCCTAGAGCCTGAGAGGCTGATGTCAGGGGTCTCTCCTGTTTGCCTTATGGAGCACGGACTGAGCTGTGTTGAATTTTTGGGTATAGCTGGAGGGAGCAGGGAAATCCAGGGAGCTAATTCCAGATGTCAGGAGGCTAGTGGCAGGGCTGTTGCACTGTCTGATGGGTCTGCAGAGGTTGCTTCTGGATGAGCGGAGAGCGCAGCAGAGAGAGAGAGAGTAATAAAGGCTGGAGCAAGACCATGGAGATTTTTGTGGAAACACAGGGTGGAGATTTCGAACATGCTGAGCATTGGCCTCCCCTCGGTTCTGGTCCCAGTAACTGCCTGGGAGATTTACCATTGTTTCAGTGGGAGCGGGGTTGGACCAATGCTGAGCACTTCTGAAAAATCCCACCTAAAGAGGGTAATTTTGAATTGGGTACCGTGGTGACTTGGGGGGCCACTCGAGCTGGGATAAGGGTGATGTGGCTTAATTCCTTTGCATGCATGAGAAAATATGAAATAGCTGCAGCCTTCAGGCAACCAGAGCCGCAGGCTGGGAACTGGTGGTTTCTTCATCATTGGAGTCTTTAAATTAAGGCTGGATGTCTTTCTAAAAGACACCCTCTAGTTCAATCAGCTGTTATTGGGCTCCATGCAGGAATTTCTGGACTGGGTGAAATTCTCTGGCCTGAGTCATTCAGGAGGTCAGGCCAGAGGAGCAGAGTGGTCACATCTGGCTCTATTTAATGCAAAGACAAAGGCAACTAGGCAACATTCTCCGGATGTCATACAAGTTTGTTCATGGAGCACGTGCAGTTAGAACTTCTGTAAGAGGGAATGTGCATTGATAATGTACTAGTTTACACAAAGCTTTCGTGGCTTGGAATTGAGTGAAATGTCTTGGGCTAGAAACATTTCTCTGCCATCTGTTTTGCCTAAGCTTTTGCCATGTTATCTTCTTGTGCTGAGACGTCTCATACATACCACAGTGCAATCCAGGGCACAGAGAATATAGAATTTAGTTGAATTTTTTTCCCGTCTGGTAGGAGAACAAATCTTTCAGAACAGAATACTTGTGTCTGTGGTGAGCACCTTTTTTAGGGAGAATGAAAGTGACCTCTATAGCAGGGGTTCTCAAAGTGGGGGTCGGGACCCTTCAGGGGGTCGTGAGGTTACTACATGGGGGTCGCAAGCTGTCAACCTCCACCCCAAACCCCGCTTTACCTCCAGCATTTATAATGGTGTTAAATATATTAAAAAGTGTTTTTAATTTGTAAGGGGGGGTTGCACTCAGAGGCTTGATATGTGAAAGGGGTCACCAGTACAAAAGTTTGAGAGCCACTGATCTATAGAAAGGTTGGCTAACACTTTCCATTATAAAAATTCTTCGGACCGTTTTCTGAAGAGCTCTAAAACCGCTACGGTTTGCAGCAGGACTTTGAAGTTAGGTAGGGGAATATGCCAGGGTACAAGGAGGTGTCTGTGACAGGCCCCATGAAAATCCACCTGATTTGGCTGAGCAGTGCATTGTTGAAAATCACCATTTCCTGCTTGTATTTGCTCAGAACAGATTGTTCCTAGCGTGCTGCCAAAACCCCTGAGCGTTCCACCAGTACCACGCGTGCTCCACCCCAGCGTCTTGCTTTGGTGAGCCACACACCAGAGCTGCTTCAGACAGCTCCTTCCCCTACTGGTCTACCATGCTGAAATACCCTTTGGCCATGGGAGTGGTGCACCAAGCAGGGAATCAGGAGACCGTGTATCCTAGACTCACTTATTCTACTGACGCGTGTTAGTAATTTGGAGTCCTTCATAACCCGTTGTACTGAGCGCAGTCTTGTACCCCTCTCATGGTGTGTCTTCGCTGCAGAATTAACGTGTGCGATTGGCACCCAGGCTGCTCTAGGATCCCTTTGGAATCAATCTTGGGACAATGTGTCTGCCCTTCTGGGCCCACGGGGGGGAATTGTGAGAAGCCATTAGATTCCTGTCAGCAGGGAGTGGCTTGGCCTGAATCCTCACTGCAAAGAGGGCCAGTTCTAGCCGCTGTGAAAGCCTCACCAGGTTTTAGCCTATAGCCCCAGGTAACCCAGGTTGGAGGCACCGCCAAACTCGGGTAGATGGTTTTGGGTGTGGAGGGGAGGGGAGGTTAAGGGCAGCATCTCAGTAGGAGCTTGTGTTAACTCTGCTGTCAAGGCTGACCCAGCACAGGCTGGGATTAGAAGCTTGCTCTGAAATATGGCAGCCCCACAGCCCCTCCACTTAGCCACGCTGTCTCTGAGAAGGCGCCTGCCCCATCCAAGTGCTCCGCTGTGCTGTCTGTAAAATGGGACCACTCCTGTGGATGTAACCCACTGCCAGTGATTGGACAGGCTCCCGGAGCTCAAATCACACAGGT